CTTTATTGGCTTATGTTATATCCAAAAGATAAGTATATTGAACTTTTATTAATTAATTGAACTCTCTCTCTCTCTCTCTCTCTCTCTCTCTCTCTCTCTCTCTTGTATTCTTGACAAAAATTTTGCTTACCCTGAAATATATATTTTGATATGTATTATTATTATTATTATTATTATTATTATTATTATTATTATTAATTTAAATGCGGAGACTTAACTTAAGCTTTTACCCATTTTTAATGTTTCAGTCACACAATAATAAGATAGGAATTTCTTTCCTGGTACATTATATTTAAAAAGTTTTGATGGCTTTCGAAATTACCATTCGAAATAACAACTTTTATCCCAACTCGATCACCGACTCGAAGTGCCTTTGTTAAATACGACATAGTATCTTAGGCAAAACTTTGTCTTTCGTTTCCTCTGTATATATGTATGTGTGTCTTTGTGGACGTGTGTGCCGTCATAGAAATATAATCATGTCGATGCAAACCTAACTCTGATAATTTGTTAACTCAAATAAGAGCCGAATATTGCCAAGTGTCGTTGCGATGCAATTCAATGTTTATGGATTTTTTTTTTATGACGAGAGCCAAACTAATGTTTAAAGTGCACAAACTTCACTTTAAAACACATCCAATATTCACTGAATTTAATTACAAAAGAATTCTTAAACACTCAGCTTAATGGTAGACGTAAGTGCTTGAGGTGAATTGAGAAATTACACAAGGTCGTAAGTGTTGAGCAATTTTTTTCTCCCAAAAGATGAAGTTTTTAGAGTATTTTATTAAAAGTTTACAGTGTTTCCAAAGTTATAGATTGATTTTCTGCTAATCTATTCCAATTTACTACAAAACTCTGTGTGAATAAGAAGAAAATGAAGATGAAAAAGAAGGGGAAGATGAAGATTAAGAAGAAGAAGAGGAAGAAGAAGATAAAGAAAAAATGAAGAAGATGAAGAAGAAGCAGAAGACGAAGAAGCAGAAGAAGATAAATAGAAAGAAGAAGATGAAGAAGAAGATGAAGAAGAAGATGAGAAGGAAGAAGATAAAGAAGAAGATGAAAAAGCTGAAAATGTAGAAGGAGAAGATGAAGATGAAGAAGAAGAAGAAGAGGAAGAAGAAGACGACGATGAAGATGAACATCACCAACATTGACAATGTTATAGGAGGGTCTTGGGGGCTTCAATACCATCGTTCTCGAAGACTAAAAACTAAACAGAAAACTAAATTCCTCCTCTTCGTCTCAATCATTTCAATGCCATTGAACTGAGATAAAATCATTACTGCCATTAGTTTTCAAAATAAATCCCATAACTTCATTTTCGCTTACTTCTTATTTATTTTTCGAAACACTAACTTCTAAAACTTCTAAAAGAAGTCTACAAATTCTAAAATAAATTTTACGTGCGAGAAGATTCCTTAGGTTTAATTCCAGAAAATAAGTACAAACGAAATGCAAAAACGAAACCATTTTTTTTAATTAAAGGAAACACGTTGCCATTAAGATAATAGATGAAAAAAGAAAAGATGCACCTTTTATGAGAAGGTAAATGAAATAAAAAAAAAATATAGCAACAGGAGTCATTAAAAATGTATATCTTATTTACTTCCCACCCGCGTTTTCAACATATCGTTTAGTTTCCTCTCCTCACCAGCACACACACTTTTTTTTTTATTATTTTATAGCGTCCTGCTTGAATCAGACTTTTGGTGGTACCTAGAGAGAAAAAAATGTTTCCTGTGTAAGGTATTCAAATCCAGGGATACGGTTGCTAAATTTATCGGCAAGCAAGATTTTATCATTTGGAAGATTAAAATAAGATAATCTCATTGTCCTCGTTTAGCCTTGTACCATACAAAGCTAAGCTTATTTAATCACAAATATAGATTATTTTTTTTTGCAATTTGTCTTGGAAAATATTCTTAAATGATTGAAAAGAATAAAGAGAATTTTGTTATAAAATTCGTATTTCATATTATAAGTCTCAATAATAAAACGTTCGTGGTCTCCACGTGGGGGTAATCGTTAAGTCTTCGACCTTCAGTAATTACTCTATATTTGTGGCCTTATGCCAAACTAAGTTTTTTATAAATTCTTATGCAGTCCTCCTTTACGGTAGGACGGTTTCCTCAAAGATGAAGAGACTCGTGGTACCGGAGGCAGAGGAAATTTCTGGGACACGTAATGAGAAAGGAGGGCTTGGAGAATTTGATACTCACAGGTCAAACAGAGAGAAAGAGAGACAAGAGAAAGCAACGCTGGCGGTCTTAAGAAAGTTGATGACAGAACGTGGTCTGGGGGAGGTGGCAGAGGGTCGAAACTTATTGGGAGCTACAAGAGGAAGTGGAGAGACATTATCGCCTACGTCCTGAAGGGACACGGCACATAAAAAGAAAGAATGCAGACCAACGCTTCAGCTCAGCTTCGAAGAACTAATCCCCCACCATGCAGCAATTTTCCACATTCATTTAAAAGGGAAGGGCCATTTCCTGATGTCTAAACGACCAGAGGGGAGTACAGAAGAAGACTGAACAATGATAGACGCCCGATGGGCAAGCTGATGTTATTGGTGTACATATTGATGCATGATATACAAGCTGACCTTATTCAGAGTTTACCTTTCTGTGGAATCAGATAAATAAATTCCTGCTACGATTTTCAGTTTTCACAGTATTACTTGGTGCTTTTCTTATTTCGCCAACGTTTCACCGGATCGCGCTTTATAGCTTTTTTTTTTTCTCTCTAAAAGACGTAACGAAAGAAATGAGACGAGCATTTAACTGCATGAACACTCGAAGAGAATGTGGAAAAAGTCACAAAAGTGAAGATTTGCAGTGAAAATGAACAGATCAAACCTATACTTAGTATTTCACTCGGGTTGAGTTTAAAGAAAAGAATCACGAGGCCCTTAGACAATTGAAAAAAAAAGGGTACAGATTCATGCTCGTTAATACGGGATTCATTCTTCCGGAACTTGATTTGAATCTGACATTCAACATTTTCGATGACAAATCGACATCAGAACACTAAGATAAAATAATTTTACAAATTTAGTTAATAAAAATTAATTTCATCAAAATATTTATGCCATTAATGACAAGATTGGAGATGACACTAGTCAGACGAGCATGCATTTAAATTCAGTTTGTTTTCAGGAAAAAGGATCCCCACAGCTGTCTGGCACGGATTGTTGAGAATACGGTTTTGCGGAGGAAAAAAATCTGGTTCTACAGAAGGATTCTGAGAATAAAAGGAGTGCATAAACAATAAAGAAGTCAGCAAGAGACTGAAGTTTTTTAACCTAAGTGAGGAAGGAAAGCTTGGAGAATGTGACACTCATATGACATTGTAGGTGTTGGTTTCAATCCGATAGGAAATGACAGCAAATCACTCGCACCTTCCCAATTTATAGACAGAAGCACACACATTATTTTTTCGTCCAGTTCCTTTTTTTTCTTCTTATTGATTATGGCAAACATTTCCAATTCTGTTTGTTCGACAGTTCTGTTACTTATTTTGAATTTGACCAGCTACAGAAGGAAAAGGGAAAAACAACGTGTCACTTACCTGACGAGCTTCTGTGAATAAATAGCAGAATGGTGGGAAGAGGTTAAAAACGTTACAATGTGCTTCAGTAGATAGGTAGCTGTGGAGAGCTATGATTGCCTATGAACCGAATGGATAGGGCACGTAAAAGAAATTGTCTATGTTTCTGGGAAGTTGCCACCATTCTTTAATGATTACTCCATCAGTTTCTTGAAAAAAGATCTACGTCTCTTTTCTCATGCATTGGGGCCCCTGGCAAAGGCCTTAGAGAAAATCGGCTGAAACGTGTTAGTAACAAAAAGAAGAAAGAGAGAAAACTTAAAGATCTCGAGGACTACCGTCCGGACAATGTAAATAATGTAAATAGTTACAGTACCTCATCTCAGAAATATAGATAGACATATTTGGGGTACTTGAGAACATCCAAAGAAGTATCTGAAATATTATCAGTCCTGACCTGGTATCTTGGCTTCAATCCCTTTCCCACGTCCTAAACTTAAATCCTCTTTATTTTGTTTATAAGTTTGGTTTGGTTTGTTTTACGGCATATCAACCTCAATAGGTTGTTTAATGCCGACAACTTCTTTTTTTTTTCCTGGTAATATTTTTTCTGGTAATATTTTTCCTCAAAATTGTATAGCTGGTGACATTATAAAATTATTTTCAATAACGTACTGCTGGTAACAGTTTTTTTTTTCAAAAACATATTGCTGGTAATATTTTTTTAAATTTATTTCTTGTAATAATTTTTACAATGTATTTCTGGTATTAAAACATATCTTTACACTTTTATAATGCTTTTTACCTTAGTTTCGGGATTAACTATTTGTCCATAGCTGGGGCCCTAAAAGGTGCTACCACCCCGGGTCAGGGTGAACCTGGGAACATCAGCAATTAAAAACCTCCTGATCAGAGGCCTTGCTGTTGGACGTAGTTTATCGTTATACCCAGGACGCTGTTTATAAGTATTATCATGACAGTTGTTCTGAGGAATCTTTTCTTTGGTATCTCATCTTCAAGCATTTAAATGCAGTACTAGATTGGTAGATAGGTCTCATCATTTAACTGTTAAAATTGCTAAATTTAACCGTAGTTTCTCCTCTCGCACTTCTCGCCTATGGAACTCACCTCTATATTCTTGCTTTTCTTGTCAACCACAATCTTCAAAAATTTAAATGCGACATAAATAGTCATCTCCTCTCGAATCATATTCTTGTTATTTTCATTTCTTCCCAATAACGTTTTCTCAGTAAGCATTTGCGTCTTAATGGTTTTATTGCCTTGCAAGTACGGTCTTGAATAATCACCATAGTGATTTTTCAACTTATAAAATAATTATTACCTATTTAAATAAACGTTCTGCCGGGTCTTTTATGGAAGTTTTATAATCGTGAAAGTCAAACCATATAATAATTATCATTGTGCATTTATTTATATATTTCCTGTCCCAT